GGGGTTCAATCCCACGCTGTGCATTTCACTTGTGTCCTTGAGCAAGACACTTAATCTGCATAGCTTCTCTCCACCCAGGAGTATAAATGGGTAGGCCTACCAGGTGGGGTTGCCTGCTACTCTGCCAAGATGGTAGCAACACAAAGCATGTGGACCCAATGACCATTGAAAAACTTACAGCGCTTCGTATCTGTAAAGTAAAGTGCTATGTAGGACCAAATTAGATCGGATTCCTTAAAAAAATGTGGTTTTATAAAAACTAATTTGCTTCTTGTGTATAACAATTTTCATAGGTTTTTGTACCGTACATTATTTCTTTAATATTATTTCATATTTTAAACATGTTTTAACTGATTGTTAAATTGGACTTTTAAAAGGATGAACTATGTAAAATTGATTAAGTATCCAGAATAATTACAAACTTATCATATACTGTAATTGTAATGTTAGTAACTAAATATGTTCTTTGTCGAGTCTGCAGCAACGGCAGGAGCAGGGGGCCCCATTTCAATTTCCTATTACAGTACACCATCAAACTATTAAGGTGGTGACAGAGAGCGGGTTTAAGGGAGGTGGGGCTATATTTTCCTCATTTCAGAGGTGTAGACGCTCCCCCCCCCCCCCAATCCCTGGGAAAAAGAAGTTTCATCAGGGAAAATACTTTTAAAAATATCATAGGTCTATTGTACATAAAAATGGGTTCCTCATTGAGCTATTTATGATTTTTCATAAATATATCCTCATCATAGGTCCTTGAAATCTGTTGACTATTAATTAAATAATAATTGATTGTGATGGTGGAAGTGATTACAGTATCTTGATATCTATAATAATAACTGAAATTCACCAAAGTTCGTCAAATATCCATAGCTTCCTTGGCGGCCCCCTGGCCACCAGCCTAGAGGCTCACTTTGGGCAGATCAAGGTACCTTCACGTAGTTGTGTATCTAGGGAGGTGCGCACGCCCCTCCCAAAATTTCTCACATACCCCTCTCCAGTCGCCCCACTCTACTCCCCAGTTGCGCACCCTTCTAAAAATCATGTTCAAGTAGTTAGAAATCCTTAAAATCACCTTATTTTTCGAGTTACTGCCCATTGAACTTTTCATCGAGCCTCCACTTAACCTTAGCGCCCCCAATCAGCACCCCATTTCAAGACTCCTTGATACAGTATGCCATATAAAATCCCCCCCCCCCAACCTCCACGTTCAAAATATTTTGCTGCCATTGGCCTGCAGGCAGTTCCTCAGTCCTTGGATTAACTTATCAAAAGTCAACCCTCTATCAATCATGCATGATATGTAGTCTCCACCTTTAGCTCTATGTACTGGAACTCAGCCTACAATGCAACACTACAAAGCTTCTTCAAAATTACATTTATTCATATTACCCATTACACGGCACTTGTTTGTAAATAAACTGAACACTTTATTATTGTAATTTGTACAATTATTACTTATTTCTAATTATTCAATTTTTCAGGATATGAAAAATGTTGAGAGATCTTCAAGCCATGAGTACACTACCACCACCACGCAACTTGCAACAGGTAAGGAAATGATTTTCTAATTCATAAACCTAAGAAAGTGAAAATTATCATTTAATACTTTAGAACCCCTATTAAGAGGATACCTTTGGGACTAAAAAAAGGTGTCCCCTTTTAAATATGGGTGTCCCCAGAATAGGGGGACAATCCAAAAACGCAAAATTGTCCCCTTGAAAGGAGTTTTTTGGCTTGTTTACTGGTACTGGTACGGGCATTTACAATGCGCCTCTTCCTTGCGGTCATAAAGCGCAGTTCCTTTCCCTGGTCATTTGGTCCACATGCTAAGTGTTGCTGCTGGTATTCAGCGCAGGAGCAGGCAACCTCCTCAGGTACCCATTTATACTCCTGGGTGGAGAGAAGCAATGCAGATAAAGTGTCTTGCTCAAGGACACAAGCGAAATGCACAGCGAGGGATTGAAACACCTACCTCGAGGTTGGGAAACCAAACCGTTCCCGCTGTGCCAAACCGCTTCTAAACCGCTTTCATACAACGATGACATACATTTTGTATGATTTTATTTTTATTGACGAATCAGCTAAGTAGAATTAGAACTTATTTATAGCAACATTTTGCAATGCAAATACAATTTATTTATAATATGAAATCAGCACAAATGTAAAAACAACAGGTTTTACATGTTGTAGAAGTGGTTAGGTGCAGTAGATAGGTCATATGGTATGGTATACCCTCTCAATTTCATCAAACCATCACTGCATGGGTTCTCTCCACCCAGGCGTATAAAATGGGTACCTGGTGGGGTTGCCTTCACCTGCCATGTTTACCAGCAGCAACACTTAAAACATGAAGACCCAATGACTAGGGGAAAAGAAGTGCTCTGTATCTACAAAGAAAAGGCACAGTACAAATAATATAAATAATAGAATTTTAATAATAAAAAGTTCCAAATATTACTTCATGACCAAATATTCATTTTTTTATGTAAAATATTGAGCTTACTATTGGATGAATGTAGCATGAATAGAGTAACTACTTTATTAAGAATTAATTGGTAAATGTTAAAGTATGTATTTAGAATCCTATATAAAAGTACACTAAAAAGAAAGGAAACGAAATCCCCATAATTAATGGTGATGCAATGATCAAAAAAAAAATTTAAAAATTAAATAGGGGTTATTTGACCAATAGGCACACTCAGAAAGTGTCCCCATCTCCTTATTAGAGGTGTTCCCTTAATAGGGGTTGGTCGTTATGTTAGAATATATATTGCCCCTCGTTTCACAAAAAAGTGTCCCCTGTATAGGAGTGTCATAAAGAAGGGGTTCTACTGTATTACTGTATACGATTAAAGTATCAGATTTAAAATTAATTCTTAATAAGATATAAAAACAGAATAAATTTCTTACTATATTTATCATCTAATTATAAATTTTCTAATTAATTAAATTTTATAATAATATTAATAAAATTTTGAAGATAATGGTGAAAATTTTATTAATTTATTAACTATTTTATTTATATAAAAATATAGTCTATTGTATTGAAACTTTGACTAGCATATTCAAAAGTTAAATTTGTTTTATTCTTGAACAACAGTAAAGTCTGTATATAATGTATCTTGTATTATGACTACCGTAATCTTGATGATTATTGTAATACTGTACTTGTAGTTATTTAATAGTGTAATTGTATTATCATAGTGAATTAATTCTTGTTCTCTGTATTTTCCAGAAAAACACAGGCACATGTTTATTGTGGATTGCAAAGACAAGCATTCAGTACAGGTAGGCGTTTGTTAATTGCATGAAGCAGATAAACAATTGGATGTACAGCCGGATTTGTTGGAAGCTTGGATAAAATGAAGCTGATCAACTGGGGCAAACCCAAGCTGTTATATAAAGAAGGTTGAGCGAAGAAATGCATTGTGGGGAATCAGGACTGATTAGTTTGACACTCTGGTAACTGAAGATTAGTAACGTCAGACTTTGAGATGAAGCGTGGAAGTCAAACTTAATGCATAGTAATGAAGCAATGAACTTTGCAAAATAGACCGATATGTTTGAACTATGCAACGTACAACAAACTGGTACTTGGAGCTTAGTGAACACTGCTGTATTGAGATGAAGCATATAAATTGTGGAAAGTCTAAAACCACAACAGATATTTGTTGTGCATTCATAGAATGAACAATTATGAATTGAAGTACTGTTTGCCAAGTGAACTTTGTAATTTATTATGTAATGTAAAAGTGTTTACCTTTCAAAATGCCGATGTTTTTGTCTGATTCTGGACCTAGTTAAATAGAATGTTGGTCCGATTTTGAACTTAATTTAAAATGTTGGTCCCATTGTGGACTTAGTTAAAATTCTGGACTTGGTTAAAATGGCTTTTAGGTAAAATTCTAAACTTAAAATTTTGATCAAAGTCTGGTCTGTAGAGTAGTGTAAGCTATTGGTCCTACCTTGGACCTAGTGTAAAATCCTGGATTTAGTGTAAATTGTTGGTCCTTTTGGACTTAATTATTTATGTCCTATCTTGGACTTAGTGTAAAATTCTGGATTTAGTTAAAATTATGGAATTAGTGTAAATTATTGGTCCAATTCTGGACTTAGTTAAAATTCTGGAATTAGTGGAAATGGTTGAGTCCCATTCTGGACTTAGTGTAAATTATTGGTCCAATTCTGGACTTAGTTAAAATTCTTAGTGTAAATTATTGGTCCAATTCTGGACTTAGTTAAAATTCTGGAATTAGTGTAAATGGTTGAGTCCTATTCTGGACTTAGTTAAAATTCTGGACTTGTATAAATGGTTGAGTCCATTCTGGACTTAGTGTAAATTATTGTTCCAATTCTGGAATTAGTGTAAATGGTTGAGTCCTATTCTGGACTTAGTGTAAATTATTGGTCCAATTCTGGACTTGTGTAAATGGTTGAGTCCTATTCTGGACTTAGTTAAAATTCTGGACTTGTGTATGGTTGAGTCCTATTCTGGACTTAGTTAAAATTCTGAACTTGTGTAAATGGTTGAGTCCTATTCTGGACTTAGTTAAAATTCTGGACTTGAATAAAACTGATTGCAACACTATTTCATTGTACTACAACTCATTTGTAGTGTACTGTATTTCAAACAACACATACTGTACAATCCAATAAATCTTAACGAAACTTTTTTTGAAAATTTCGTCAGCGTCTCACGCAAAAAGACAGTTGGGATTATCCAAGCGGAAGCGATCGCCTATGATAGGCGATCGCCACGTGTGGAACCTACGCGCCACCCACCACCCTTGGCCCCGCTGAAAGATATATATGCCTCTCAGAAGTTGTTCTTGACTTGGTGTTAGTTCTGCAGTTTTGCTGGTTTTTGCAGTTCTAGCTGAATTCAATGAATATTCATCATTTCCCTGCCTGGTAATGAGGACTGCTGGTCTGGTGAATATGCAAATGAATTAATTGTAGCAAGCTATCTGCAATTAAAAAGATTTTAAAAATGGATATTAGATTTAAGCAATAAAAATTAAGACTTCTATTAATTCTATTATTTTCTAAATAATTGCTTAATAACATGCTTTCATTTATTAAAGAAAATTCTACATTCATTAACTTTATACAAATTCAACATCAACACAAGTTCAATAAAACCTGACTATAATATATCCGAAGACAATACTTATCAATGTGCAGACCCTTCTTGGTGAGTTCACAGTGAACTTTCCTGAATGGTGATTTACGTATTGTAACATAACAAGCATGATACAGGCCTTGTAATTTGGGCAACATGCTGTCATTTAAATGATGGTGTATTGCCCAAAATGAGGAAAAATATATTTCCATGGTAGGACTGAAATTGGATTAGCACAATTTGAAATAAAAAAAAAAATAATAATAATTTTAAGGACTAAAAATTACAATAAACAAAATTAAATTAAACTACTGTAAAACTAAGATTAACTATGGCTACAACATCACAAACAAATGAAATGTCTTTCCACTTACTTTTGGTGTTGTCCATTCTTCTATATCTCTTGAACCTGTTAGTCAAGTCAATCTGCCTGCTTACCGAATGCTACTCTATAAAATATGAAGATAAAATACTGAAAGTGTAACGTCATACACATTTATTGTGTACACGATAAAAAAATATTTTCCACAAATCAAATGACGCCATAATGATGGGAAAACGATAAAATCGTAGTAGTAAAATGACTTTATCGTTTTCTCATGTTTATTACGTCATTTGATTTGATTTTGATTTTTGTGTATAAACGATAAATCGTTATCGAATTGTGCTAGTGTGAAAACTTCTCTTATTTTCTATATAAACAATTGTTTTTTAGCATTTTATCGTTATCATTGCAAGTATAAACAGGCCTTATATTAAAAACATTGAAAGTATAACACTGTCATACATTGGTTTGAATTGCAAGCAATTTGAAAACACTATAAAGAAAGATAACGGGTGGTTATTAGTAATTTCGATAATTTAAAATGAGGACATTATTAGAACGACGAAAGCTTAAATACCATTCATTTTGGTTCAGATGCTGTAGCTATGAATTTATGAAAGCCAAAATATTTAAAGGGTCCATAATGGGGAACTTTGCTTCAAACTATGCATTACATATTTTAAAAGACTAAAAGCCAAAAAAAATACAAAATTTAAATAAGTTAGAAAAGAATAACACTTTTGCATCTTTTTAAAGTATATGTGTTTAAAATTAATTTATGTTACAATCGTAATGACTGGTAATGGTATAGGTATTTTTAATGCACCTCTTCCTTGAGGTTATATAGCACAATGTTTACCCTGGTCATTGGGTCCACTTGGTTTAAGTTGGTAATCAGTGAAAGAGCAGGCAACCCAACTAGGTACCGAGTACCAGGTGGAGAGAAGCATGCAGATATAGTGTCTTGCTATTAGGATGAAAGTGAAATGCACAGAGAGAGATTGAAACCTCGAGGTTGAGAAACCGAACCGTTCCTGCTGTGCCATACCAAATGATTTACATAGCACTGACATGATGTATACTATCAAGCAATTGGTGGAATCTCAATAAAACAAATCAAGTAAATATACTCACATTAGTTTTCAAATCTTGATTTGCGCCACATTGAATCAAAACATCAACGACTTGAGGATTTTCATTGAATGATGCACTTATTAATACCATCCATCCATCCATCCTACAAAATAAAATATTTATTTCAAATCATTATAGAAATTGAACTAAAAACAAACATCGTAATTAATAATGTGTATAACATCAATCGTGCGTGATGCTCCGACTGTCGGCGATGCGGTCATGCATGAAATTCATTAAAATTCTGGACTTGGTTAAAATTGTTTATAGATAAAATTCTGAACTTCAGTTAAATTTTTAGACCAATTCTGAACTTGGTTAAAATTTTAGAATTAGTGTAAATTATTAGTCCTATCTTGGACTTAGTATAAAATCCTGGACTTCATAGTGTAAATTGTTGCTCCTTTTGGACTTAGTGTAAAATGTTGGTCCAAATCTGGACTTGGTTAAAATTATTGAATTAATAGTGTAAATTATTATGTGATATCTTGGACTTAGTGCAAAATTCTGGATTTAGTTAAATTTCTAGAATTAAATTTCTAGAATTAGTGTAAATGGTAGAGTCCTATTCTGGACTTGTAAAGTGTGAAATGTTGGTCCAATTGTGGACTTGGTTAAAATTCTGGAATTAGTGTAAATGGTTGAGTCCTATTCTGGACTTGAGAGTTCACAATAGGCTCTCCTATTGGTGCTTGGCACAATGAAACATTGCAAACTCAGATATGAGATTGTAAATGTTTGATGATACTGAGTTTACATCAATTATGGTGATATGGAATGAATGGAAAACGAATAGGATTAAAGTCTAAGCTAAGATATGAAATACAAAAGTATATATAATTGTAAAAATAAACGAAGAAAAAAAATATTTTACCATGACTGATTTCTTAAGTCAAATTATTATTGTTATCAGGGGCTGATCCAATAACACGCGATACTAGGCCTACATCACAATTTGTAAGTGGTTTGGCGCAGTGGGAACAGTCTGGTTTCCCAACCTTGAGGTCAGGGCTTCAACCCCTCACTGTGCATTTCACTTGCGACACTTTATCTGCATTGCTTCTCTCCACCTACTGTAGGAGTAATTTATGTGTATCTGGTAGGGTTTATTTGCCAAAATGTGCTGATTTAGCTGCGGAAACTTATGGAATATTCCCCCAGGGAGCTTGAGTTTGCGTTCAATAGGCGTTTAATCCAATGACTGGGGGTAGTAATATGAATCACCTAGAGGACTTGTTGGCGTTAAGCACCATATAAGCGTCTACATGTTTATTATTAATTTTTAAAAATGAAATATCTTTCCACTTACCAACATCTGGTATTCTTGTGTTGTTATCCACTTTCTCACATAGCAGAACATCATGTTGCTTAAGTTGTCAGTCACGTCATGCTGCCAGCTATACCAACATGCCCCTCTATAAAATAAGAGGAATAAATCAAAAACATAAATTAAAATTAAATAAATAAGCAAGTTTTAAAACAACATTTATGAAGCTGACTTATACGAATACATTGTGGCAGGCCGACAAGATTGTGTACTTCTACATTTTTATAATAATTCTCTATTATAGGTCTGCGAGTCTTTCTAATATACACTAGCCTAAATTACAGTACTGTTTGTACCCTTTTTTTTTCAACATCAACTATGATAGGCCTTATTTTGTTAAAATGAGGGAATTTCTTCTCATGTACACCCAGAGTACACGAGAAGCACACACGCAAGACAAGTGACCATTATTTTTATTTCACGGTAAACGGAGGGGTGTGGCCAGCCACCCTATTCACTCCCCCACCCCCTAAGTCCGCCACTGCAGATTACTTGAGATCTGAGGTCTGAATTTTCCAGATCTGAGATTTGCACACCCAGAACTAAATCCCTTTTCCAATTAAAACTTAACAGCCAGTGTAAACCTGTCTCTTATACACATCTAGATGTGTATAAGAGACAGGGGGTAGGGTGAAGGAAGGATATCTGCAGTCACACTCCTATGCCCATGATTTAAAAAATAAATTATAACATGAATGATATTCAATATTATACATTTGTAATTTGTTTACAACCTATTTTTAGAAGTATTAATGTCAAATTATCATTTTAAAATATTACAATAGAGGGTGGTAATCAGTATTTTGTGTTAATATAACTTGAGTTTGAATATGAATTTACGAAGGGTTATTAAATTCAAAGTACAGCTAAGTTGTTAATGTGTTTCATGTTAATGGATGAATAAGGAGAAAAGTGTCAACCAACTGACTAGTTTTACCAAAAAAAATATGGTTATACTGGTACTATAAAAATATTATATTCTTTAAATTTCTAGCATTACATTAATTACCAAGGAAGCTTGGTTTTAATACAGTTGAACTTGCCTAAGTCAAACGAATCTGAAATGCCATTGGAAAGTTGTTTAATTATTAGATAAAATTTGACTTTCAGATTCATTAATTACTGTAAAATACAACAATTTGGCTTGTAAAATAAGATCGCCTTAGAAATGATTCGCGTTAGGCAAAGTCGCATTAGGCAAGTTAAAAGAATTACGGTGATTATGGCGATTTTTTTAATTGGGTTGAATGCACATTTTTAACTTGTTTGTTTTCAAATAAATTTCTGTTATTTTAAAAAGCTATCTTAAATCTTCATGTACTTCTGAGAGATCTGTTTGTGATCTGTTTAAATGAGCTCTAAGATAGCTTTTATTGTCCATTAAAAATATCAGAAATTCATTTGAAACCAAGCAATGTGCAATCAACCCAATTTCAAAAACAAAGTGGCTATGTTTACGCCAAGATGTAGTGCCTTTAAGATAGCGAGAGTAATTTTTAAGGGAAGGGTAATGCAAAGCCAAGCTATTCAACCCCACTCCCTGAATTTGCTTTGAATTTAGGACAAATTGAGTAGCTTTTATATGACAAATGTAAACGTGTTAATAAAAAAGGGAAAGGTTGTGTACCAAGCATTTACCTATAGATTTTTATGATCAGTTTTCATGAATATCAAGCCATTCCTAGCCCCAAGCTTGGAATAATCATCATATTGAACTCCGATCCACCTGGAATGTGATACAATGGGAGTGGAATGTGGAGTAGGACCGAAGCAGCCACGAGCCAGAATGGCCACCAATGAGTAAAGCTTATGGAACGCCGGTGATGCATGCACAATTAATAAAGAGTATCTCTCACTAAATACAACACACACCAAACATGTACAATTATGCTTTTATTTATATTAATGCATATAGGCCCAACAGTAACATGAAGAGAGAAGTGCAGGCCAACTTTATTTGCTCAACATTTGAATTACCAAAACAAAATACAGTATAAAATATGATAGTGTTACCACCGTCATGTGACTGTGATAATTCAACCACTGAGAATAATAAATATATATAAAGCTTCTGCTTTACATGACTTTTTGAGTAGCTATTTTGCAAATAAATGGTTCATTTCGTTAAAAAATTTTGGCTCTATTAATTATTCATGATTTAAGCTGCAACAGTGAAGTTAGCAAGTCTGAAATGAGGAAGCTAGAAAAGCTACTCAAAAAATCATGTAAAGCTGAAGCTATTTGAATTTTTTCAGCAAGTGTAAACAATTCAGCGTTTATCACAAGTTTATATTATATATTATAATAGTATATAATATAGCAAACCAACCAGTAAACAATAAGCGAGCGTACTGTACAGTTTGTGCATACACACATTGGCGGCCGTTCTGGCTGGCGGTCGCTTGCCTAGGCTAGGCCTTTAGATTAGGCCTTGAGTAGCTAGGCCTAGCCTAGGGCCTAACCTAGGCCTCATCTCAAAAGCAACAATAATTTATATCAGTCCAGACTTACCCTACACTCTCTGTACGCCTAAACGCTATCGTCAACAAAATCAGATTTGGTTTAACTAATTAAGCAATATTTTACACGTAGGCCTACAATACTTACATTTTTCAGGTAAAAATGTTGGCCAAAAATGTTCCGGTACGTCCATGTGTTGTTGTTTACCTGGGAAGCGCCATCTATGGTTGTAGAAAAAACAACAGGCTTACAGTTAGCGCCCCAATCGGCCGATCAATGAAGAACAATTTCTCATGAATATGACCACCGGGATTTATCCCAAGATCTCGGGATTTTTTATGACACTTTGGGATTTCTTGTTAACTTTTCATTCAATCTTGGAATTGAATGATATGGAATTTTTATTTATTTAATAAAAAGCTGCTAATGGTCATAACAACACCATTTGACAGTTGTGGATTAGGGCCTGTTCATGTTCAAAATAAAAGAGCCATTTTGGAAGTTCAGGAATTTTTTTCAATTCTTTTGATACGGCTATTGTTTAAATCAATTTTCATCACTTTCAAAAATAATAAGGTGCGTTTTTAAGTTAAATTTGATATGTGTCCTCGATATGCTGATTGGGTCTATACGTAGGGCTAAAAGTTGAGCAAGAATAACCTTGATGCAGGAAATATCGCACCGTCTCATACTTTTCATTTTAATAAAAAAAAAAAAAATCCATCAAAAACACTACCCTTACCAGCTTAAACCTCCCGAAAAAGTTAAACGTTAACACCTTTTATTAGAAATAATGAGTTATACTTGAATATCTTCTGTGCAATAATAATAATAATAATGCTCAGGGAGTGGTGGATTTAGGCCTAACAAACCTCCTTAACAAAAAAAGAATCAGCTTAAATTCGTCTTAACCAGGCTAGGTTTTTTAAGATACAGATTAATGTGATATTGTATGGTTCCCTTTGATGTTTATCCCTTTGCAAGCTTTTATAAAGTTTTTTTTTTAATAAAAAAATTACAACTTTTAAATAAAGAATATCTTTTAAATGAAATTATTGTATAGGCCTACCAATATTACTACAGTATATTATTTATGATACGTCTATTGCGTCTGTAAAATATTTGTCCAAAATCCTTTAAAACAGTCCTCAAAACGTTCTGACTGTACCCCCACTAGGGGTCTTTACTAGGCTCTAGACCCCCAGCATGACACACCCTGTCACAAACCCACCCCGCTCGGTCGGTACTATGTAT